TAAACGCATTTACCTAACACCCTGTATAATAATCAAGAATTTTGTACGCCTCAGTCGAGGGGAATACATTTTACGGTCGCAAATTTGTAAGATTTATTACTAAATCTTAACACAAATATAATTTTTAATTAAATGTACTAATCACAAAACAACACGCATTTTATCCTATTTCATTCAGTAAGTTATTTTGTTTGTCAAAATAAAATAAAACATTACAATCACAAAATACATTCACAAAACTAGTTAAATATACCTACTAAGTAGGCAGATGTAATGAAAAAATTGTCTGCAGGTGAGCAGCCCTATCGCATGTTGTCATATTATTATGGTGACGTTCCGCGCGGCTGTTGACATTTATTTAAAAAATATAGCCGAGTTGGAATACTGTATAGATAGTATTACCGTGATTTTACTGTGCAATTTTTATCACTGAATCACTCGGCATTGTTCGATGTCATAATGGAAATGCTACTATTATTTTGGTATTAATTACAATGCCTACTATGTATGTTGTATAAGCATTTGAATTGTTTAGCATAACTTTTATTGTACTCACCTATGGTACACTAATAGCGAAGATAGGAAAAATATACAGGCGAGCACATCAGCTCTGCCAACTACGCCGGCTACCTGTCAACAAATATTATACGTTATTTTCCCTGTTTTAAATTTCAACGCCTTGCACATATTGTTTTAACCTAATTTACTAAGTGAAATTGAAATCACAAGTTTCTGCAACTAAGAAAATGTCTGAATTATTGTCGTAGCTCGTAGCGTTACTTTCGTAGTAAGTGCTACGGCTACTACGAGAACTATAGCATACGTAGCCATGTAGCTAATAACTGTAATGCAATGTCGTCCGTACAATTTGTCAGATAAAATTACTGCAAAAGTTCTTTAGCTGCTAAGTATAATTATGACTGAAATCAAAGGCAATATAAGCAAAATGTGTCAAGTAAACTCATCAGATTTTAGCAATTCTGCGAGCTATGTCGGTCACTTTGGTTCTCCTGCGGATCTCTTCATTTCTGATTTGATCATGCAGGGAAACTCCGAGCATAGCCCTCTCCATCGTCCTTTGGGTGACCTTGAGCCTACTTATGATGCCCATGGTAAGTGACCACGTTTCAGATCCATAAACCATCACTGGCAGCACACACTGGTCAAAGACTTTTGTCTTGAAACACTGCGGTACAGTGGGCGGGGCACATAGCTCGTAGAGACGATGACCGTTGGGGCAGAAAAGTTCTCGAGTGGCGACCACGGTCCAGAAGACGTAGCGTGTGCAGGCCTCCCACTAGGTGGACCGATGATCTGGTAGAGGTCGCTGGAGGAGCCTGGATGCGGACCTGTCTTTGTGGGAACCCTTGGGGGAGGCCTTTGTCCAGCAGTGAACGTCATTAAGCTGAAACGAACGAACGATAGTTCCAAAACCTTACCGCCTCCGTATGCACCGGGTGCACCGCAAACAGCAGCGCGGCCAGAGCAGCGAAAGGCCGCTGCAGTCGTGCTACCGTCACACACGCGCGCACGACCAGCGCGCAGCACGCCGCGTGCAAAAGCACGTTGCACGCGTGCCACCACCACGGCCGTAAGCCGGCTAGCGCGTAGTTCAGTCTGTAACAATAGACAAAATAATAATAAATACAACTTTATTGGCAACAAAAACACCTAACATATAACATAACACATTTCGTCTATATCGTATGTTATTATTTTCTACTACGTCTGTATTTACACTTAAAATTTATACGCGCACTATTATTATTATTTATGTATGTATATTTTATGCAGTATAGGTTAGTGTCCGTGACTCTCACTCGGCATGGGGCACACTGAAAACCAGCGTCGTGGCTTCCCTCACCGGGGGCCACGGCATATGCTGAGTGGGGTCCCATTGCGATGGGCATCGCTGTGCGACAGGGTGGCACTGCTTAGTTTACTTGCTCACTCATTGTATGTTTTATGTCACCTCTGTCTTATTTGCTTTTTTTATTTTTTATTTTACCTCTTTTGTCTTTTGTGATGTCCATGGCAATAAATGTTTCTTTCTTTCTTTCTTTCTAACACACAGAAACACGCTCAATCAAATAGGTTCAGTCACGCATTTTAACCTTCTTCGGCCATGTATCTCGGCGCAGTAATGACTCCATAGAGCGTCTCGTAGTGCAGGGAAAAGTTGAGGGCACCAGACCACGTGGTAGATCACCAATGAGATGGACGGACCAGACCAAGGCCGCAACTAAGTGCTCGGTTAGCGAAAGTACCCGGAAAGCTGCAGTTCGCGAGGAATGGCGCCGTATTACGAGGAACATCACTCTGAATCGTGATTCNTGCCAAATTTCAAGCGTCTAACTTAAGCAGTTTAGATTTTTCATACAAAAGGATTTTCCCGCTAATTTCCGTGCCCGTGGGAATTCCTAAGTATCCTATAACCTGCCTAGGAGTACGAAGAATAATTGTACCAAGTTTCGTTAAAATCCGTCAAGTAGTTTTTGTTTCTATAAGGAACATACAGACAGACAGACGAGACAGACAGACAGACAGACAGACAGACAAAAATTTTACTGATTGCATTTTTGGCATCAGTATTGATCACTAATCACCCCCTGATAGTTATTTTGAAAATATATTTCATGTACAGAATTGACCTCTCTACAGATTTATTATAAGTATAGATAATAATGATGAAATAAATTATTCTTTTTTAAAAAATTAAATCGTAATCGAAGCATAGATATGACCCATTTACATTGCAAATATGTATTTTAACAAATCTCACGTGAGATTTTGGGGAGGGGGAGGGGGTCTAGAAAAATCTCACCAAATCTCACCTAGGGGGGCGGGGGGGTTGAAAAATTGTCAAAATTGTCTCACGTAATTAATGGACGCCCCCTTATGCTTGCATCCAGTAGGCCTAGTTTCAATTCCAGGATTTAGCCTAGCTGTAGGCTACAGACTTTTTGTTGGCCGATAGTTGGATCAGACTATTAATCAGTTTGAACATGTATGAAAGTGCGCACATTACACCGATTTGGTATCGGCCGATTCTTCGTACAAATTAGAATCGGGCAAAATTCTTAGAAGTTATTTAGCAGTATTCAAGCGTATAGGTAGTGGCTTGTAGGTACATAGGTATCTTTTGAAGAAAAACATTTTAAAAATTCTACTTTGAATGGTCCCAAATAAAACCCTAGCATTCCTTTTACCAGTCAATTTACTATTCAAATCACATTATTTAGGGTTTAGGTGTAGGTAGAAGATAAATTGTAGGTAGGGCACCTAGTGGATTTATTATTGGTGAGGGCCTTTTAACAATCGGTAGACTTTTCCTCTTTTTATGTAGTGGAAGATGTAAGAACCTTTGTATACCAAAATAAATAATTTGAATTACTATCACTACATACACAGTCTCTTTCCTGTCTGTCTGCCCTAGGTATGCTTAGATCTTTGAAACTACGCAACGGATTTTGATGCGGTTTTTTTAATAGATAGTGATTCAAGAGGAAGGTTTTTAAGTTTAATACATTGTACCTGTGCGAAGTATATAGGTATTTAACAACAGTTACTACCCGTTCGCGCCAAGTTTGCCGGTCCGTGGAATGCGCGTCCCCTCCTCCAACCGCGATTAAAGGCAATTAGTTAGTGATTAAACGCAATTAATATGTCTTATTTTACGCAAATACACAATTCTTATCAATATTAATAAATAAAAAATATTTTAAATATAGCTTGTTATAGTTATAGACGTTTCCCTTCGAGTGACGTCATATCGCCAGCGGCAAACTTAAAGCGAACGGATAGTATACATCTTATTTATTACGTTAAATGTAAAACAACATATTTATCCATGAATATACATTTATAACGGTATTAACAGCAAAAGATATAGGAAAATAACAAAGCTGTATAATATCGACCGCAGCGGACTTTTGTGTCGATGACAGGCCAATTAGCTGTTCCCATAAAATATTGCCCGAACAATGATTAGCTATCAAAGCCGAATAAACGAACAACTCCCCCCTTAAACGAAACCGTTATGGGAAGGTATCGCCATAAACATGCAATAACTGCTCATTGGAAGTGATGAAATTGAACCATAAAGCTATGGGGTCCGGTGTAGGGCTGGGACCACATTGGTGTTTAAAGTGAAGCACGAATTAAAATGAAAGAAATAGTGATCTAAGTTTGGAAATAATATACAAGGGTATCTACTTATCCGAAAATTACATAACAAACAATGTATGCGACTATAGATATGCAATCGAATAAAGATCATTACATTGTTTTATGAAGACGACACGTTTCGTTTTATATCGTTAGAAGTACATGATATAAATATACTGCAATGAAGTTTTCTTATTCTTATAAAACACTTTTGTGATTTAGAAGTTCTTCAGTGGTGGATAAATCAATCGTTACCTGTACAACAGCTGCAGGGAAAAACATCAAATATTATGTGACAACAATTACTTAATGAATTTCTTGTGGCCAAGTGTGGTATTGGCTTTACTTGTATTTCTGACCGGGAAGAACTCGTAACGCGACTTTATGGAGTTTATACTCAGCGAGCTCTATTGAATTATAAAACTGATGGTATTCTCGTACTAATATAATATTTAATATTATTTACGTTTATTATTATGGCGCAGAAAAGCTCTAGCAGAACCTTTCAAATTACACGATTAATTTATTAAATTCAACGTAACACATATTTTCCTACTTAAAATATTTCAGTAAAGAATTAACCGAAAAGGGTAAATTAAGCTTGTTAAATTTCATAGCACCGCCATCACAGGTCCTGAATTTACGTATTTCTTTCTTTGGTGATTGAGTAATGTGTCAGCGAAATATTCAATGATACTTTAATTCATGAAAGAATAATTCATTCCAAACTGATAGTTTCACGAAAAGTGAAAACAAAATACTATCATGAACTTGTTAATTTTACGTAAAGAAAATGAATGATTGATTATAAAATGTAACTGAGAATAGCTTACCTTAGCAATGTGGCGCGGTCCCGCCAATCCGCGTTTCTTCGGTAGGTCCTTGCAACGCTACTGGCTGCAAGAACTGCCAGTCCCACCACCAGGATGGCTTTGGTGCCGGGCTTGGAATACCACATGAGCTGGACACCGTAAGCTGTGATGATCACACTGCCTACACTGTGAGCAAAATACATCCGTTAAAAGAGCGCTCTAGTCATTTTCAACCTCAATAGGCTGTAGAATTATTAGTCCTTTTCAATTTCAATTCTTTGTGGACTCTTACTTCAGCTCAGCAAACCATAGATCCTGGCTGTACAGGAGTTATATTTACCTAGGTATATACAGCACCCTCTCTGCGATGACGAAGCCGACGGTGACGAGCAGGTTACTGGCCGGTACGAAAGGCACCACAAGCAGTAGCAGACCGATTACAGCTGGCGTGTGCCTCTGTACCTGGTAGGGAAAGACTTATAAGTCATTGAGAGTATGAAGAACAATATTTTCAACTACGGTACAAGTCGTACAAAACACAGGCTTAATAAATAAGTATTTCTAATTCTGACGGCAACTCTAGTATCTAGGTTCTTCGCGTCTCATACTATTAACATAGGGCTTAGTGTGAGTTTACATCAAACTTCGTCACTAGCGAGCGTCAAAAAAATCTATGTAGATTTTAGTTCTTGAACGTATCCGCTGGGATCGCTGTACAATCCGTCATACCATTCATGTCACTTTTTTACGCAGTCGACATCGAATGCGTTTGACGTAAACTCACACTACGCCCCCAGTTAAAGAGGGTTTTTGGACTAAGACAGTGGTTCTTGACCTTTAAGTCATGAGGGACCATTTTACTTTTCTGTCTTGTCAGGGACCACCTCATAAACGCTCAAAACCAGTTTGACTGCAAAAATCAGTTAAAAGTGGTTTTAACCAAGGTGTGAAAGAGCACTTCGTGGACTACTTGGAATGTCTCAGGGACCACCAGTGGTCCGCGGACCACCGGTTAAGAACCGGACTAAGAGGTGACAGATTAATAATTTTCCCAATCTACTTGATCAATCGACTCTATTGTTAAGGCGTTAAAAGTTATCTTCGCTATACCAACCTCTAAGTCTGCAATGCACCTATAGCACAGCAGCAGTAGTGCCCCAAACGCAGCACAAGTGAGCAGGTTCCTAGGGTCCCAGCCGCTGGTGATGAGCGGCACCGAGCCCATCTGCCAGTCGTGGCTCAGCGTCCAGGGGCACAGGAGTAGCCACCAGTTGAAGGCTGCCAGGTAGCAGAAGGTCATCAGCCTGGAAGGATGCTTGGAGTTAGGTAAGAGCGAGAAGTGTAGTGTTGTCCTATTTTGTCGTTTTTGGCGTCTATTTATGTCACTATTTAACTCCCAACTGTGTAATTTAGACTACTGGACTGGTTTTTAAAGCAGTTTTCTTTTTATTTACACTATCGGGTTTTCGACTGTAAAAATTACTTTACCTATTGTCATACTTATTGTTGTACACCGTAAGTAGGTACACCTTACAAACTGGGTACTAAACTATGCGGTGGATTTTTCCATCGACTTCATAATGGCTACCTCAAACATGTAATTGATTTTCATTTAGACCTAAATATAGTGTTTAATTTCAACCACCGTAACTTTGTCTTTTGACAGACACGAACGACATGAAAAAAGAAAATTAATTCTCAATCATCACAACTTTAATATTAAAAGTTTGTCATCATTATAAATAAAAACTAACGACTATCTAACGTACATTAGCTAGCTGATCATTTGTTTGCGTGACGAGTGAATTTATCGCGGGCAGATCTCTGGTAATTGTTTATGACTTTGCAGGCAATTAGTGTGATGAATCGAAATCAGGACGTGTCTTGTGCCGTTAGTTTAGTAATCTAGCTTAAATGTAGAGAAGTTTAACGACTAACGATTGAATCACGTGAATAATGTTATAGAAATATTTGATGAACTTACGAGGTCGCTAAGGATTTGGCCAAACCATTTGTTATGCGTTTAAGACTGATCGCCACCATCGCCATCGTGCACGTCGGCTGCATGCGTTGGTTTGGCTAAACCTTTTAGCATTATTTAGTTTCTACCACGGAATTTGGACTTTATTATTTCTCGAGTGTTATTACGCTACCAAACTAAAACTACCAAATGCTTACGCCGAGACCAATAACTGATTTGTTTGTAAAGCAAGGTCATTAACTGGAAACTTATGTAAGCTCATAAATGCTCATATCACTTCAATAGCTACGATCAAAACAATACAACCGATTCAATGATTGATCGTATTCATGTAGCGGGTATCTACTAATTACCCTCTGGGTACACTCCTTTATAATTATATTCCCAATTTTAGTATCGAGAATTATAGGAGAAAGTCAATAAACCCATAGCAATTACACAATTACCAATTCACAAACGTAAGAAGTACAAAAAACTAACAAAGTTTTTCGTTGTTAAAACGTTAATAGTTAAGAAAATTATTCTTTTACACGTAACTGTTGCTGTAGGAGGTTTATGAAACTTTTACAAAAGCACGGGATCTGTCGAGTTATACACTTAGCCAGTTTTCTCTAAAGTTCTTCATTTTGAAGTTCATTGACGAGGGTTATACAAACTAATATGAATACATTGAGAATCATACATTTAAGTTAAACATAATCATCATCCCAGCCTCCTGAAACCGTTTGGCCAGTGTGAGGAGCCAAATCATCCATTTTCCTCTGGTACATTAGAAAGGGTAGTCCTGCTTCTGCAGAATGACAGGAGACTAAAGGACAAATTACACTAATCAACTCGGAAGCGAATCGTAACCGTATCAACAAGAGTCTTGTTCATACGAAGAATACTTCGTATGAAACTCCGAACTGCAACGCACACTTATCTACACCATACTGTAAACGCCTCGCCTCAGTTATTATCGGATCGGATCCCTTTTCGGGTTGATAAGTGTGCTGTGACCTTAATGCCCAGATCAGACGGTGAAACGCAACTGCAACGAAACTGCAATTGCTAGTTACTTTTGAGTTGCATCTAAGTTTCTGCCGTAGCGTCCGTTGAGAGACCACACATGACGCGACTAGTTTGAAACTTTCAGTTTCAGTTTCATTCGTAAGAATCATCAGAAAGTTCCAGTTTCGTTGCAGTTGCGTTTCACCGTCTGTTCCGGGCCTAAGTGACCTGAATTGATGATAATTATGAAACTAACCTCACAAAAAAGCTAGGATGAAACGCAGCCGGGTTGTCCTGCGAGGAGAATGTAGGCCAGGTTCCTTGAAGTAGCGCCAGCCTGAGACAGATGAGCAGCGCGAGAGACACCACCACCTTGATCGTTCGTATTGATAGGCCGGTGCACTTCTTCTCTATTTTTAACGAGCATATTGACCTGTGAACAAAAATTAAAGTTATTAATCATCACCACCACCATTTCAACAACCACTAACTACTATTTTTTTGAGGTCGATGTTCCTTCGAGTAAGTGGATGTCCTACACTACATTTGCTAAAACACGTCTTAATTTGAAGAACACAGTCTTCATTCGAGCTGTTTCCGCCTTTTGCTGGATATAGCCAGCTTAATATCACTTCAATTAGTCTTTAGTCTGCGTTACATAAACTAAAATAACTACATGTAGGCCTTTTTAAGTCCCCCGGGACAAATTTGACCTTCATTGGTTGGGTTTTTATGGCAGTCAAGCATTAGATCCTGGCTACACAGGAGTTGCAGCGGTGGGAACGAGAGGTGGGAATAGTCCCGAGGTAGGCCTTTTCATTCTTTGAATCTTCATTCCTAAGCAAGCTTCACCAATTAGTTAGAAAGCTTTAAATATTACGCTTTTTTATTTCCATTTTCATCTTTAAAAGGGTTTAGTAATAGTTTTATGGAATAATACCCAGGTAGGCCGTTTCATTCTTTGAATCTTATTCTCATGTAAATCATTCCCAAGCAAGCTTCAATAATTAGTTAGAAAGCTTTAAATATTATGCTTTTTTATTTCCCTTTTCATCTTTAAAAGTGTTTAGCAATAGTTTTTTTTGTAAAGTTGTTTATTTATGCTAACAACTAGGAACAATTTAGCAAACACATTGGGCATTTCCATAATCTGATTAAATATTTGTATCCACGCAACATTCCTTATCAAGAGCTTAACAAGAAGTTCAAATGTTGTTATAGGCTCCCCCAACTCGCGTAATCACTTTATATTTCATCTCTCAACGGCACGGAAAGTTTTAAAAGGGTTATATTAGATTATCTTAAATATACGAAGATATATAATTCGAGCTCGATCAACCTGGTCCATTCAACTTTTGAACTGCAATTTAGATATTTGACTGAAAATTACATTATTGTTTGTTTAAAATGTCTACGGCAATTAGAGTCTAGCGTCAAGACTGTTGATAAAACTTTATAAATTAAATGAGACAATGTACCTGCAGTTTATTTAAATTGTCTACAATAATATGGTAATTTCGTCCTTGGATGCATGCTTCTATTATTTCTATAGTAACTCCCTGATAAACGGGACTATTCCCACCTCTCGTCCCCACCACTGCAACTCCTGTGTAGCCAGGATCTACAGCTTGACCGCCAATAAAAACCCAGTCAGTGAAGGTCAAGTTTGTCCCGGGAGAAAGTTGAACTGTCATTGGACCATTGGAGTTCGAAGTTAAGGTTCGACTTCCCAGTGCAAAGCGGGCAGCGCAGGACCATTCATTGTGGAAAACCTTGGGGGAGGCCTTTGTCCAGCAGTGGACGTCATTTGTCTGAAACGAACGACGAACGAACGAAGAAAAATCTTCTTACCTCTTGACAAACGGCCAACACCTATAAAAGTCGAAGGCCAAGTTGAGCAGTAGGACAGTGACGCCAGTTTCCTTGGCCAGCATGCTCAGAGCCCCAAGAGTGATGCTGAGCCAAACGCACTTCTTGCTGCTGGTAGGTCTGCAATAAAACGTTTTATCAGTTGTCACGTAAATGATATAAAGTTGGATCATTTGTCAAAGAATAATCAATTGGACATGTGCTATTATTAATACAAAACGTACCCACATCGAGTATTAATTAATTGTTGGAACGACAACCGGCTTTGACTAAATTAAACTTGTTAGATATAAAAACAAACAGTAAAGTACCCTAGGTACTTGAATTTTATTGTGCAATTTATCACTGAATCACTCGGCATTGTTCGATGTCATAACGGAAATGCTACTATTATTTTGGTATTAATTAAAATGCTTAGGCTGGGTTGCACCATCTTAATTTAACTTTGACAAACGTCAAAAATCTGTCAAACTCCATACAAAAAGCACCGGTTATCGTCATAGTTACCGCTATAGTTAGGTGGTGCAACTCAGCCTTAATATGTATGTTGTTATAAGCATTTGAATTGTTTAGCATAACTTTTATTGTACTCACCTATGGTACACTAATAGCGAGGATAGGAAAAATATACAGGCGAGCACGTCAGCTCTGCCAACTACGCCGGCTACCTGTCAACAAATATTATACGTTATTTTCCCTGAAATTTTAACTTACAACGCCTTGTTATAACGCCATATTGTTTAAGTTAATTTACTATATGAAATTGAAATCACAAGTTTCTGCGACTACGAAAATGTCTGAACTGTCGTAGCTCGTAGCGTTACTCTCGTAGCAAGCTACTACGGCTGCTACTACGGCTACTACGAGAACTGTAGCATACGTAGCCATGTAGCTAATAACTGTAATGCAATGTCGTCCGTACAATTTGTCAGATAACATTACTGCAAAAGTGCTCTAGCTGCTAAGTATAATTATGACTGAAATCAAAGGCAATATAAGCAAAATGTGTCAAGTAAACTCATCAGATTTTAGCTATTCTGCGGATCTCCTCATTTCTGATTCGATCACGTAGCGAAACTCCGAGCATAGCCCTTTCCATCGCCCTTTAGATGACCTTGAGCCTTCTTATGAGGCCCATGGTAAGTGACCACGTTTCAGATCCATAAACCATCACTGGCAGCACACACTGGTCAAAGACTTGTCTTGAAACACTGCGGTACAGTGGGCGGGGCACATAGCTCGTAGAGACGATGGCCGTTGGGGCAGAAAAGTTCTCGAGTGGCGACCACGGTCCAGAAGACGTAGCGTGTGCAGGCCTCCCACTAGGTGGACCGATGATCTGGTAGAGGTCGCTGGAGGAGCCTGGATGCGGACCTGTCTTTGTGGGAATCCTTGGGGGATGCCTCTGTCCAGCAGTGTACATCATTAAGCTGAAATGAACGAATGAAATTTCCAAAACCTTACCGCCTCCGTATGCACCGGGTGCACCGCAAACAGCAGCGCGGCTAAAGCAGCGAAAGGCCGCTGCAGTCGTGCTACCGTCACACACGCGCGCACGACCAGCGCGCAGCACGCCGCGTGCAGAAGCACGTTGCACGCGTGCCACCACCACGGCCGTAAGCCAGCCAGCGCGTAGTTCAGTCTGTAACAATAGACAAAATAATAATAAATACAACTTTATTGGCAACAAAAACACCTAACACACAGAAACACGCTCAATCAAACAGGTTCAGTCACGCATTTTAACCTTCTTCGGCCATGTATCTCGGCGCAGTAATGACTCCATAGAGCGTCTCGTAGTGCAGGGAAAAGTTGAGGGCATCAGACCACGTGGTAGATCACCAATGAGATGGACGGACCAGATCAAGGCCGCAACTAAGTGCTCGGTTAGCGAAAGTACCCGGAAAGCTGCAGTCCGCGAGGAATGGCGCCGTATTACGAGGAACATCACTCTGAGTCGTGATTCAAAATGATGACCACGACCACTCTGACAAGAGTGTACCGACTGAGAAGAAGAAGATACAGAAAGATTGTAGCGTTCCCGACTGCATTAGTCAAAAACTGTGTCCAGTCGTCAGCGTCTACCTCATACAGGCTGACGTTGCAGATTTTAAATATTCAAAGACATTATATTCATACTCATTTATCCACATAAAAGTCAGTGTGAAATTATACTGAAAAATAATTATTTGCTGTCCTGACAAACATCGTCCTGTTATTACATACCCTTCGGTACAGAAGAAAAATCTACTTTACAAAAGGGATGATCAGTTTTCGGAACATAAATGAACCAGGAAACTTTTCCTATTATTTTTTTCTTATAAAACCTTCCCGAGACTTACCTAAGCAAATGTTTAAAGAAAACCATTAACTGAATTGATCCAGCGGTCTTAGGTTTTGAATTTTGTGGTTTAATTACTCAAATTATAAAAGTAAACAAAATGTCAAAAGAATGGATCGATCTAAAAATACCGAAACTTGTTGTTGTGTCATTATTAACCGATCCAGAAAACAATGCGAAAGTCATTGTGTCATGCACAGATCTGTGCTCACCCGATACGAGAGGTTAATCAACAATAAGCTATGAACTAAATAAACAAAAGCTGTGCTAATTTGATACACAAATCCCGTGTTGGCTCTGTCAAGCAACACGTCAGTGTCCCAAGCTGACATTTTAGTTAAATAATAAAACTCCCGTGATTAATCACGCCTGTCCCGGATCTATTCGCAACTCGCTTAACTTGGCTCGGCCTTCGAGCGTTGAATCAAATATGGCCGCTTTAATAAAGACAGACCTAAATTGAAAATGTTGAGTCCATTTAAAGTAATTTTCTAGAAATAGTGCCCGTATGTTACTGTCAGATGCTTTTAGATCAAGAGCTAAGCGTTAGCTGTTCAATTAATACTTAATTTGAGGAAGTAGCAAAATTGATTATAACAACTCTTTGGTAATGTCATCATCATCATCATCTCAGCCATAGGACGTCCACTGCTGAACATAGAACGTGCGTCCAGCGCCTTCCTGCTATTGTTAATGTATTGTTATTGAAAATGTTTGACTTTTTTGTAAACACCAAAGACAAGTTAATACACATACGTATCCATATAAAATGGCATGGCGTCTATATACATATTTTGTTGTTATTAAACAAAAAGGACATTAATTAAATTTAAATGGAGTGACAAAAGAAGTAAGTTTTAATAAACCTGCTTTAAGAATCATGACTGCTACGGATAAACCTAAGTATTTATAAAGTAACTATTGAAATGCATGTATGTATATTTTATGCAGTATAGGTTAGTGTCCGTGACTCCCACTCGGCATGGGGCACACTCAAAACCAGCTTCGTGTCCTTCCTCACAGGGGGCCACGGCATATGCTGAGTGGGGTCCCATTGCGATGGACATCGCTGTGCGACAGGGTGGCACTGCTCAGTTTACTTTCTCTTCCATTGTATGTTTTATGTCACCTCTGTCTTATTTGCATTTTTTATTTACATCTTTGGTCTTTTGTGATGTCCATGGCAATAAATGTTTCTTTCTTTCTTTCTTTCAAATGTATCATCACTATAAATAAGCATCACAATCCGATATCTAATTTTATTATCATTGTTTTCGCTCCAGACAATAATAGCGCATTTAATAGAGAATCCCAGGACGCACAGCCAGCTGCTATTAATACGGGAATCGTTTTTTATGGAGGGACATTATATTTATCTCAGGAAGCGAAAGGGATTTGTCAAGAAATAATGTCTCAGAGCCACAGTAAACAGAGACGGGAAAATCAAAGGTTATCCATTATTATTTTTATTACAGACACAAAGAGCGATACAATCAACCGTAAAAAACTGAGTGTTATCGTAACTGTAAAGAGTTTTTTGTTGACCAATCGGGAGATAGGAAGGTTTGTTTTGTGTATTAGAACTTCTGAAAAAAAATGCGGAAAATTTTAATAACNATCGAGGTTTTACTTAGCTACGATACGCTATACATAATAACAGTTCAAATAGTTTCAGACTGCAATTTAAAAATATAAATATTTAAACAAAAAACAAGTTCCGATCATGTCAAATGAAATATCTGTATTAATTTTCGAAATGCTAGTTAAACAAGTCACGAGTGCCTACTTTGCTCTACCAATAAATATGTTTTTGAATATGAAAAAGCGGGTGTTTGGACAAAGATATTAAAGTCAATATTTAATAGCACACGTAATATGAGGAGCCGAACATCGAATATTTCAGGAATCGTTTAAAATTATTTCTGTTTAAAGTTTATTTGGACAGAATAAGGATCAGAGCTGTTTATTATACGAGTTACTGATAATTCGGGATTGAAAACAAACCTATGTAGGTAGTATGAAAGCAAATAAAATTGAAATCTCTATTTGTGTTGTCAAGAATCTGACCAATCAGTTTAGTGAATTATTTCCCCTAAGCGGTAATAGGGCAAGCTATGCATGTATATGGAAGGATGTTATGTAACATAGGCCTTACGTATTCAACTCATTAAGAATTATTTTTCTTTTACTAAGAAAATTTGATTCATGAGGAAAATTATTTGTTACAGGTACATAATCGATAGTTGCTCGTTTATAAATCAGTGGTAAGTGACACTTTAGTTTAAATTTTTATAATTCCCGTTCTTATTTGTAGTAGGTATATGCCCAGCTTTTTGTAGTATCTGCACAGCTTTTTTTTTTTAGCTATTTGGTTTTCGCAGTGTTGGATTAATCAAAGTTTTTATACAATACCACAAAGGTTTTAGATTTTCTTAGATTTTTTACTCGTATAAAATCGAAATGAAAACTGTAAATCCTAAATTAAGGCTGGGTTGCACCATCTTACTTTAACTTTGACNAAGAATCTGACCAATCAGTTTAGTGAATTATTTCCCCTAAGCGGTGATAGAGCAAGCTATGCATGTATATGGAAGGAAGTTATGTAACATAGGCCTTACGTGTTCAACTCATTAAGATTTTTTTTTTACTAAGAGATTCATAAGGTAAATTATTTGTTACAGGTATCTAATCGATAGTTGATTTATAAATCAATGGTAAGTGACACTTCAGTTTCAATTTTAATAGTTCCCATTCTTATTTGTAGTAGGTATATGCCCAGCTTTTTGTAGTATCTGCACAGCTTTTATATTAGCTATGGCGATAGCGAAACAATCAACACAGATGTCGGTCTGTACGTCCCAATCGCGCTCGTGTAATTCGGGAACTACACTCAGGCTTTTTCCCGGCAATTTGCCACCGCTCCTTATAAAAGCAGGAAGACGAAAATACACCCTTTCTTCGCCTCTTTGTAGACCGCCAGACACTGCGGTGATCTTTGATTTACATTTGCTGGGGAATGTTTTCGTTTTCGAATAACGAAACAAAGCTATTTGGTTTTCGCAGTGTTGGATAAATCAAAGTTTTTATACAATACCACAAAAGTTTTAGATTTTCTTCGATTTTTTACTCGTATAAAATCAAAATGAAAACTGTAAATCCTAAATTAAGGCTGGGTTGCACCATCTTACTTTAACTTTGACAAACGTCAAAAATTTGTCATACTCCATACAAAAAGCACCGGTCATCGTTATAGTTTCGATCAAAGTTAGGTAGTGCAACTCAGCCTAAGTGTTAGATGCTAATTGTGTGTGATAACACCTAACCTGTAAAGTAAAAAAAATGTTGCGTTAATTTTCGAGAAAGAAAGACTATCAGGAGTAGAACTGAGTTTACTGTATATTTTTGTCATTCTTTCTTTCTCGTTTGGTTTTAATTTACTGAAAATTAGGTCTAAATCACACCCAAAAATCGTCGGAATAGGCTGCGCACACAACTGCAGCGATTAAACTCGCCCAAACAGCTGAATGCATGTTTGGGCTTCACTTACACTGCGGAACTAATAGAGTCAAAGTTAATGGACGTGGCTGCAGCGCTCGGCCCGAGTAGGGAAAGTACTGGATTTGATTGTTCTGGATGGAAAATTTGAGGGTGGAAATTGGATATGAAAAAGGCTACAATTAAATTCTGTCCATGATTATTACTGTGGGGTAGGTTAGACAAATGTGGGTATAGTTTTTTTTGTTTGCTGTTTATGTTTCAAATGGTTTACAAGTAGATTCAATCTAATGCATATATTTGTGATTGTTTTCTGTTGCGAGTCCTATAATAGAAGACTTGGCTCTGGCGCAAACTTAACCATCTGTAGTTGGGTTTCACGGATGATAAAATCTGCAGATCTTGAGACAAGACATAATGCCCTCTTTTTCGAAACGTTTGCTTGCGCCAAATATTCATCAACACTCAAAATCAGTACCTTTAAGAAACTTATGGAATAATTTTAGAGATATTTCTGATGACTTTTTGGATCAGTATCAGTAAAGATCTGTGGTCGCGATCCTCATCAGTGAGGGACCGAGGAAGAAGAAGAAGATCAGTAAAGATAACAGCATATCATACTAAACACTCTAATTTCATGATTATGGTGCTATTCCACAATTGAACGTTTGATTCATCAGTTAGTCTCAGCTACTCCTGTACCCAACGACGGCGATGACTGGACGCGTGCGCTGACACGCGCCCGCACTGGGTCGCTGTAACATCCCACCCCCTCTGATTGCTTTTTAATAGCCATCTCGATCGCA